CATCATCATCATCATCATCATCATCATCATCATCATCATCATCATCATCATCATCATCATCATCATCATCACCATCACCACCACCACTACCACCGTCATCGTCATCATCGTCATCATCGTCATCATCATCATCATCATCATCATAATAATACTCGTCGTCCTTCTCATTATCAAAATTATTTTCACTTCCATCACCATTTTTTACAGCCCGACCCCAATGTTCTCTATCAACATCACGGCCATAATAAACAAACAGTTCTTCTCCTTTTTTAATATCACGTTTTGTCCAACATATAACTTGGTTGACAGTACTTCCTTCAAGAAATACTATATTACCAAATGGATCTTCATTCATAAAATGAAAAGGACAATGAATCTTTCCTTTTGGATCAGTGAATGGCTGTCCATTATCATCAGTTGCATCGAGTATCATATCCTTATATCTCATTGAATAATGTGATGACCTGCCTACTTTATCTTTATTTTGATCAAACTCATCTTCACTCATTGGAACGCCAAAATAAAATCCTAAAGGTGTTGCAATCGGAAGATTTATTTTGGCAAATAATCCATTGCCTGCATTTCGAATCGTGGACTTTTTAATTTCAACAACGTCAGCCAAACTTTTTGGTACATTGGTCAGATCTAATCCTTCAATAATCTCCTCATCTGTTGCAACAGTAAATTTTCCAAATTTCACATTATTGTCATAAATATTTTTTGATTTTCTGGTTTGATGTTTTTTGTTTAGTTCAACCGTTTGTAACTGATAGACACATAAAGTTCCTTTTGTTCTGCATTTTGTACATGATGGTAATTTCATATCGCAATTTGTATCTGCTGCGCATTGCCGACATCTCAAATGAAATTGTGTAGTTGTTCCTACACTAAGCATAACGACATGCCCACTATTTACTATTGTAGAGCCTGTTCAAATTTAAAAATTATCCTCAGTAACATTACGAATTTTTTTAAAAAATAAAATATCAAATTTAATAATAATCTATATATTTGTGCGTGTATAAATATAATATACCTTGCTTATTCTTTTTTAATTTACCAAAACATAAAGGCCAATCATGATTTATCAATTTTCTCATCCAATTATTATAATGTCTAATAGCATCATCAATATCATTTGGTATGAATGCTAATTTATAATATATATTTTTTGAGTAAGGAAGATTTAATTCTTTAAAATATTTTTCTGAATTGTTCACCAAACAAAAGCTAGCTGAACTTTTTGGTGACTAACCATATTAATATGCAAATTTGGAGGAATTAAAACAATTAAGATTAAATATTATCAATTAGTAAATATAATTATCAAAAAAAAAAAAGATAAGTCACCTGACCACTAAAAACTCTTGGTAATCCTGTTTCAGCACTTAACCTTTCATCTAAAGTAATTGATGCATCAATCAACTCGTTATGTGACATAGTATAATTCGGCGCCTTTTGTAAAATCAAAAGAATCAATTGGTGTTGATTATGCCAGCAAGGTCTTTTTAATGATTTTTTATTGTGTCTTAGATAATCCCTTTGCATATCACTTATATTCTTTCCTGAGCAGTGAAATATCAACGGTACACATCTTGGAATGTAGTTATTTAAAAATCTTTCGCTAAAATCTTTTTGTCTGTCAGGTACATTTATTTGTATCAAGTCATTTAATCTATATCCTGATTCAATAGTAATTCTTTGCAGACATGAAAAAAATTTATCCATTCCAGTTTTTTGATTATTGTTTAGACTTTTTACAAATTTTGTAACATCATTTAAGAATGGATACAAAACATAAACATTCTTTTCAAAATTGTAACTAGCTGAACAGATATTTAAGAAATTTGAAAGAACTTCATTTGCATCTATCCAATCACCGTGTGACTGTCTTAAAATTGTTTTTGTTATTTTCATAAAATTCACATCAATATCACTTGAGGATATTCCATTAGGATTGTTTTTTGGTAATAATATTGAAACTAAAATTGCACTGATCTTATTAATTGTTTCGCCAGATGCATTTTCAGGATGTGGCGTTATATTGAGTATTTTCTCTATCAACCTTATTTTTTTTGAAACATTCATCTGATTTAAATTTGATATTGCAGTAGCAAAAGTACTCAGTGGAAGTGTTGATAATGCATTTATTGATATTTCTTTGATTATTTCTCCCCAGGCCTGTTCACAACTTAATCCTTTATCTAATTTTGGTGCGAGCCGTGGCTCTAGCCATTTTCGTAACATCTGAGAAATTTCAACTTTTTCTTGAAAAGCCTTTGCTGTTTTTACCATTTTTTTTTACTTGTAATCAAATAAGATAAAAAAGATAATCAAACCAATATTATTAAATTAATCAAATTTAGAACGGATTTTCAGCAAATTTGTAGATCCTACTTGATGATATCTTCTAACCAATATTTTTACTAGTTTGTAATTGCCTGTCCATTATGAACAGTGTATAAATTTCGTCGTGTAACAATATATCCAAATTTAGATGCGCACATTTTTGAAGGACATAATAATAATTATTTTATTTATAAAAGTATATTTTAAAATACAATAAATTTAATATAGTTTTTTAAAATCTATATCCTTGTTTTCTTACTTCTCCAATACTCATATGCCTTTTCAAAATCAAAATCTTCTATTTCTGGTCCATTTAATAATAACATTAAATGATTACTCAATGTATTAATATTCATTTTATTTCTTAATTTATTTTTTATTAAAGTTTGTTGTGAGAATATTTCTTGAAAGCATTCATTCGGTAACGAATTGATAACCGTCATTTTTTTTTCCCAAGTGAGAAATTACAATAATAAAAATATATACTGTTTATTTTTATTTATACTAATTAAAAATTTGTGTTTCACAAATTTCTCAAGCTTCTTCTTCTACATATTAATCTATATTAATCTATATAATCTATATACACATCTATTCACGATTTCAAATGTTCAAACCGGTTCCGTGCAACAGTAGTAGTCAAATTGTTTAGCATTAGCCACAAATGTGATCAACCAGCGAGCAGATTCGATATTAAATAAAAATTCTTATGGTGAGTGAATTAAAATAAAAAAAATCAAGGGCAATGATAAATTATTTATTATTAATTCGCAACAAATTATCGTCGATGAAATAATTTTGTGAATGAAACACGGATAAACGTAAATTATAAATAAATCGAGAAAAAATCTTACCTGACACCGAAGAAGCAATAAGTTTGAATCAAATTTCTTGTATTAATGTTGAAATTTCTAAATTTTACAAGTTTCGATTGATGAATTAAATCTGCAAGATCCCAATTACCGCAGAAAGTTTTATTTACATTGATGAAGAAGTAACAACCAGCATAAGAATTACAGTAACTGATAATTCTGATGAAGAGGAAGAAACGGAAATGGTAGGTGGTTATTTCTGATAAAGAGGCCACCAGACAATTCTGCAATTAGTTACCAAGGATTTTGAAAACAATTAGTAATTTAATAAACATGTCCAAGATGATGCAAAGCAACTCACGATAATAAATAGATTTTATTTATAAAGTCCATACCATAAAGGGACTTTTTTTTTCACAAACTTTCATGCAAATCATTTATTGCCTCATTCTAAACTCAAATAAAATTTATGTCGGGAACAAGAAGAACGAGCAAATTTTTAAAACAAGCGACATAAAATCGGCATGAAAACATCCTTTTAACGAGGACTAACCATAAGTACCGGAGGCAGCCATATATAATTCATTGTTTGTTTTTCTTGACGGAGTGTAATTGCAAGGGTCATAATTTGAATTGTGTTGAATACTATTATTATTGTCTCGATAATTGATGAATTTATTATATAAAATTTTTCCTCGAATTCGGATATAATCAATCACATTCTGTCTGAGAAAGTATTTTTTTAACAATACTAATAAAGCGTAAAAATTTTAATGATTGATATAATATGAGTGATGTCATTGAATCGTGATTTGAATCCTAAAATTGAAAAATAATAGTATGGATCGTTATAGTGAAGGAAGTTAGGAAGGATTTCAGTAAAAAATAGGATTGCCTAAAAGGCTTGGTCGGTTATAAATGGTTCAGCGTAAGCCTTTTTATTGATGGTTTGTGTAACTCCCAGTCTTTATTTTAAAAGAATTCCAGGGAGTAACTTTTTTTTTTGTTAAATATATTTAAATAGTAATTATTTATTCATTGATTTTTTTAAGTGCAATTGATTAATTTGGATAAATGATTTAATGTAATGGCTTTGGATTTTTGTTTATTGTAAAAAGCCATCGATAAAAATAAGCCAGCCACACTCCTTATTAGTATAATTATTATGATGTTGATGAATGTTTAATAGTTTGTATCAAAACAAAATAAATCAGGTCATTTAAAAAACAAATAAGATTTCTTTGACAATAATTTAACCTCACAGCCACCTTATAAATAAAAAGGATAATACTATAGTAATCCTATTTTTTTTCTTCCTTCTTTATGTTTTAAACGAGAAATTTTTTTTAAAAATCATAATTATTTTTTTACCATTTAAAAAAAAATTTTTTTAAATTAATGTCAATTGCTACATCAAATCGATGTCTAAACGAACTCGCACAAATTCAGGATGGAGGTAAACTTGCTTCATTGGTGAGTAACATTCTTTCTAATTATCCATCCATCCATTCCCAACACTTTAATAATTAATTCAATTCTTTAATCGATTAGCTACTATGCTCGAAACTAAAGTCAAGAGGAGCATTAATCAATGATATATACGACGATGGCTATGATGATACTGAATTAGAATCCTTCGATCAAGAATTACATCGACGTTATAATTTAATGTATTTTGTTCCTAGAAGCAAATTTAATAAAAGAGATGTGGAAGTATATGCAAACGAAAATGATGATGATGAAAATGAAGATTATGAAGATTATGAAAATGTCAAATTCAAAAAACGAAGTATAGTTGAACCGTTAAAAAGAAAACCAGAAAAACAATCATCGGTGTCGTCATCTACACCTACACCTTCACCTCCACCAATTAGACAACCCGATACTTCAACTACGCCATCGATTAGTACCACTAATTCGATTGAAAAACAATCATCATCACCACCACCATCATCGTCGTCACCACCACCATCGTCATCACCACCATCGTCATCACCATCACCATCATCATCACCAACAACAAATATAGAAAATGTTAAAGTTAACAAAACAGTTCCAGTAAAAGATGCTTTGTATTGGTGGAGAAATGATCCACTTATTAATGTCCATCATGAACATTGGCATGTAGTTTTTGTTAATAGTCCAGTTAACGGTACATATAAAGATAGAGAAGGAGAAAATTTTATTTATATGCACAGATTCATGTTAGCAAGGTAATTAATTAACATCTTTCATTGGTAGTGGTATTGATGGATATATATATATATATTAGAAGATATTTTATATATGTTTAATCATTTTTTTATTTTTTAGATATGATGCTGAACGTTATGCACTTGGAGTAGCAAAAGTCGCAGCTTTACCAAATTATCGAGAACCTATACCTGATGCTTTTTATCCACCTTCCCATTTATATGAAATCGTTAATAATAAAGTTGTTCACTTTCCATCTCGTCCACCTGGTCAAGTTTTTCATGATACAGGTTAATAAACGAATCAATAAATAATAATTGGATTTCTTATTTAATCGTAATATAATAATAATAATAATAATAATAATAATAATAATAATAATGATAATGTTAATTATTATTGTTTTTGATTATTTTAGTTGTTATGACACAGGATAATCGTAAAGACGATACATCATATACACTTAAAGAATTGGAAAATGCTTTGATAACATTGGAAAAATGGATTGATGGCGAAGAGACTTATCTTAACCCATCTAACTTATTAAATGACCCTAATGGAAATACTGATTTAGGTGCTGTCATTGAAGACGTATTACATAATGTTGGGCACGCAATGCTTGGTCGCGTTATGGCTCCCAATGATACTAATGCTCCACCAGGTGTTTTGGTTGGTGCTCGTGCAGGGTGTCGTGATCCATTATTTTGGAGATGGCATCGTCACATTGATGATATTTATGTTAGATGGCAAACTAGATTAGGCTTGAACATGTTCAGTAATGATATCCCACCAATAAAAATTGGAAATAATGACATTTTCCTTGCATTTAAAGACGAGCTATTTAATCTTGATAAAGATGGTGATCATAATGGATGGGTTAAATATGCCAAGAAAACAATCGGTGGTAATAATTTTGATAAAACATTGGTAAATGTTACCGGATTCACCAACGAATTACAAACTACTATGAAACAAAGAGTTCATGTTTGGCTTGAAGATACCAATGATAAAGAAATCATTGAGTTTATGTACCCGAGAGAATTCTTTACTTTCTTCCGTATTGAAAATCTATCATCTAAAGTAAGTAAATGAACTTTAAAACAATACTTTGATACTCTGATGTTATCATTATGTAGAATTATATATTAATAAAAACCCGTTTCCATCCTCTTTCCCATTTTACTCCATCAATCAAATATTAAGTCATTGCCAGTAACGTTTAGAGTTTTTATCGTTCCAGAGGTATTTATGGATTCGTATGTTCACTGGATAGAACTTGACAAATTCAAAAGAATATTGAAACCATATGAGAAAACCATAATATCACAAGATTGCGACCAGTCAATTGGTATACGTAAACCAGCACAAAAGACTATTAGACAAATGGAAAAATCCACCCAGATGACACCTGATTACGTGAATTCACTAGACCAATTAACATTAGATAAACAATCTGAAGCGATATTTTGTGGTTGTGGTTGGCCATACCATATGGTGATTCCAAGAGGAACGAAGGAAGGTCTTCGATTTAAAATGATGGTTTATGTATCAGATGGTAAAGATGATATGATTCCTGTTGCTCCAACATGTGGAAGTCAATTATTATGTGGTGGTAGAAAATGGAGAGATAAATATCCTGATAAACATCCAATGGGTTATCCATTTGATAGACCTTTTATAAATAAATCATTTTATCAAACGTTTGCTCATTTACCAAATGTTGCTATACGAGATTTTACAATTCGTTGGGTTGAAGATTTTCCTTTATTAGTTCCTTTAAATAATTAATATATAAAAGTTCATTAGTAACATATAGTATTTAACATGGTTGTTATTTTTGTAAATATTTTTTAGGTAAAAAATACATCCATTTTTCTTGTATTATTATTTTATTTATTTTCTCGTAATTTGTTGAATTGGATTTTAACAGATTTAAACAGA